GTGGCGGCCTTACAAAGGAATTCCTTTTTGTGGCGGCCTTACAAAAGGATTCCTTTTGTAGCAGTCTTACACAAGGATTTATTTTGTGGCGGCCTTACAAAGGGATTCCTTTTGTGGCGGCCTTACAAAGGGATTCCTTTTGTGGCGGCCTTACAAAAGGATTCCTTTTGTGGCGGCCTTACAAAAGGATTCCTATTGTGGCTGCTTTACAAAAGGATTCCCTTTGTGGCGGCCTTACAAAGGGATTCTATATGTGACCGGCCTTACACATGTGTTCCTTTTGTGGCGGCCTTACAAAAGGATTCCTTTTGTGGCGGCTTTACAATAGGATTCTTTTTGTGGCGGCCTTGCAAAGGGATTCCTTCTGTGGCGACCTTACAAAGGGATTCCTATTGTGGCGGCCTTATAACTTTTGTTTTTCATTGTTTTTCGCTGTGGTTTCATTGTTTTTTTTGTTTTTCCTTGTTTTCCTGGTTTTCCGCTGGTGGCTCCCGAAAAAAAATTGCGGCCTTGCAAAGGGATTCCTTCTGTGGCCTTACGAAGGGGTTTCTTTTTTGTGGCGGCCATGCAACTGGATTCCTTTTGTCGTCGTCGTCATCATCGCCATCGTCATCATCATCGCTCCTTCCTCCTTCTCATCATCATCCTCGTCACCATCACCCCTCGTCATGAAGCCTGTTCGCACAGGGTAAGGATGAGTAAGCATGAAGATGGGATCGTGTAGCGCGAGGGCGGTGGGGATCATGATGCCGATGGTGACGATGATGATGATGGGGAGGGTGAGGAGGACGATAACGATGACGATGGTGATGGTGATGATGACGACCTCATCATCATAATCCGCGTAATCATCTCGTACATCAACATCATCGCCACTGACATCGTCATCATCATATCCCCCCATCCGCCTCCTCATCCTCCTCATCCTCCTCACCGTCATTACCATCATCGTCGTCATCATCATCGCCGTCATCATCATCAGCAGCATCATCGCTCCCTCCCCCACCTCCTCCCGACGTCATGAAGCCTGCCCGCCAAATGGGCGGGGGGATGGTGGGCAAGAGGAGGACGGGTGAGGGCCATGATGACGAGGATGAAGACGAGGAGAATGATGTTGATGACGCCCTCGTCATCCTCATCCTCCTCAGCAACATCACGACCCCCAATCAGCATGATCGCCAGCATCACTAGCATCATCATCATGATCACCATCATCGCCATCATTACCACAACCATCCTCAACAGCAGCATCGTCAGCATCATCTTCATCATTATTCTGATCACCACCACCATCATTATCGCGCCCTCCTCCTCCCCCATCGTCAGGGAGCCTGCTCGACAGTGGAAGAAAACGTGGACAAGGGGAGGAGGGGCAGGGGGATGACGTGTGAGGGCAACGGTGATGACGATGAACATGAAGAGGGAAGATGATGACGTCTTCCTCGTCCGCAGCCTCCTGCTCCCCATCGTCATCCTTCCCAGCCCCTCATCATCATCAGCCTCGCAAACACCATTACCATCATCGGCTTCTTAACCGCTCTCTCCTCATCCTACCCCTCGCCATCAAGCCTGCAGGACGCGTGGGAGGACGGGTGATGATCATGTTGGCGATGTGACATATGAGTATTGCGGGAGGATGACGACATCACCATCTCCCCCCTCCGCCACATCATCATTACCGTCATCACCATCACCATCGTCAGCATCAGCATCAGCATCACCATCATCATCATTCGCTCATTGGCCCTTGCGATGGCACCCCGCCCACGGGCATCCGCGATCGCCCTGCGCGCTGCACAGGTCGGAGTCGCTCATGTCCCCATGGGGAAGCACCCCGTGCACGAGCATTCGCGTGCATTTCGCGCGCTGCACAGGTGGAATTTGTTCATAGGCCTATGGGGCAGCGCCCCATCTACTGGCATCCACGAGCATTATTTGCGTTGCACTGGTGGGAATCGCTGATGGGCTTATGGGAGGGCACTTCATCCGCGAGCCTCCACGGGCATCCTGCGCGCTGCACATGTAGGAAGCACTTGTGGGTCCATGGCGGAGCACCCCACCCACGAGCATCCACTATGATTCCGTGCGCTGCACAGGTAAGAATTGGCCGTGGGTGAGTTGCAGATCGCCCCATCCACGAGCACCGAATATGATTTCGTGCGCTGCACATGTAAAGTTTGTTTATGGGCCCATGGGAGAGCATTCCATCCATCAGCATCCACGAGCATCATCTGCGCTGTACAAGTGGGAGTCGCTCATGGACCAATGGAGGAGCACCCCATCCGCGAGCATCCACGAGCATCTCGTGCGCTGCACAGGTAGGGGTCGCTGATGTGTCCATGAAAGAGCCCCCAATCCACCAGCATCCACTCGCATCATCTGCGCTGCACAGGTAGGAACCGCTCATGGGCCCAAGGCAGAGCACCCCATCCACGAGCCTCCGCGATCATCCTGTGCGTTGCACAGCTAGGAATAGCTCGTGAGCTCATGGGATAACAACCCTTCCACGAGCATCCTGTGCGCTGCACGAGTAGGAATCGCTCATTCATTCTTCACTCATCATCAGCATCACCATCATCATCATTCGCTCATTGGCCCTTGCGATGGCATCCCGCCCACGAGCATCCGCGATCACCCTGCGCGCTGCACAGGTCGGAGTCGCTCGTGTCCTCATGTGGAAGCACCCCGTACACGAGCATTCGCGTGCATTTCGCGCGCTGCACAGGTGGAATTTGTTCATAGGCCTATGGGGCAGCGCCCCATCTACTGGCATCCACGAGCATTATTTGCGTTGCACTGGTGGGAATCGCTGATGGGCTTATGGGAGGGCACTTCATCCGCGAGCCTCCACGAGCATCCTGTGCGCTGCACATGTAGGAATCACTTGTGGGTCCATGGCGGAGCACCCCATCCACGAGCATCCACTATGATTCCGTGCGCTGCACAGGTAAGAATTGGCCGTGGGTGAATTGCATATCACCCCATCCACGAGCACCGAATATGATTTCGTGCGCTGCACATGTAAAGTTTGTTTATGGGCCCATGGGAGAGCATTCCATCCACCAGCATCCACGAGCCTCATCTGCGCTGTACAAGTGGGAGCCGTTCATGGACCCATGGAGGAGCACCCCATCCGCGAGCATCCACGAGCATCTCGTGCGCTGCACAGGTAGGGGTCGCTGATGTGTTCATGAGAGGGCCCCCAATCCACCAGCATCCACTCGCATCATCTGCGCTGCACAGGTAGGAACCGCTCATGGGCCCAAGGCACAGCACCCCATCCACGAGCCTCCGCGATCATCCTGTGCGTTGCACAGCTATGAATAGCTCGTGAGCTCATGGGATAACAACCCATCCGCGAGCATCCTGTGCGCTGCACGAGTAGGAATCGCTCATGGGCAAGTGAAGAAGCGCCCCGCCGTGGAGTATCCACGAGCATCTCGTGCGCTGCACAGGTGGGATTCGCTCATGGGCCCACGGGACAACACTCCATCCACGGGCATCCACGAGCATTCTCTGCGCTCACAGGTAGGAATCGCTCATGGGGTCCATGGGCGTACTCAATCCTCGAGCTTCCACGAGCATCATCTCCGTTGCACAGGTATGGGGTCGCTGAGGCCATTGGCGCATGCGAGAGAACCAGCGAATTTCTTATGCGGGAACTCGCGATTGCGTTTGTTCGTCCGCGCGTGGATAATACTACGGAGATCCAGTCGCTATGTTGATACGCATATTTGGTTATGCATGCGTGCGTGCGCGTACATATCTCCGCAGCTCGTACGATGGTGCATGTGTAGATTCACTGGGTCCAAAAAACTTCTTGCAACCACGGAAAACACAAGTCAAATAGGGTAAATTTTCTCCCCCTCAGGCCCACCCCCCCGAATTGCAAACGGGGGGGTGTTCGAACCCCACCCTCTCTCTCCAGTGGCAGCAGACGATGGTGAGCGACGACGGTCAGCGGTCAGCGGTGACGACGACGACGACGATCGAGCCTTCGTGGGATGCGGTCAAGGCTGGATCCGTCCAGGATGAATTGCGAACCCTACTAGGGCTGGACGGAGCCCTAGAAGGGGATCTACATCCATGCTGGATCGTGCATCGGTAGGATGCCGTTATAGCTTGATAGAGCACTCGTAGGATCCGATTTCGAGCTGGATCCAGTCCTCGTAGGATTCAACCAGAATTCAGTCGAGTTTGGGTAGGATCCAATTAGAGCTTGACTCAGCTCTTGTAGGTTTTTTGCTCGCTGCGTCGAGCCCTAGTACCATTCTAGTAGAGCTGGATCGTGCCTGAGTAGGATTGTGTTAGAGCTGGGTCGCTCCCTGGCAGGATTCCATCCGAGCTGTAGATTGAATCGGCCCGTCGTCGGGATCCAGGAGCTTTGGATCCAACTTTAAAGCAGGATTGCATGATAGCTGGAGCTTGCGTAGGATTCCAATAGAACCGGATCCAGCCCTGATAGGCTTCTGTTAGAACTGAATGAAGCCCTGGCAGGATTCTGTTAGAGCTGGATCAAGTTCTGGTAGGGTTCAACCGAAGGGCCGGGGGTGGCCCGGTTCGAAAAACACCCCCCGTCTTGGAAAGGGTGGTGGGGGGGCCGGAGGTTGTTTGGGGGGATGCAAGCGGATGTGTCCATCGTGTCGCGGGATGTTTTCCAAGGGAGCATCCACGAAACGCGTTTGTCTCGCACGTGTGTACAATTTGTTGATGCAGCAGACACACAAGGCAGTGCATATATGTTGTATACATATGTGTACATGTGTGTTATGTTCATTGGCTTTCCTCTGTCCCCCTCGCCCCTCGCTGCCATGTGGTCGTTCTCACTCACCTACCTCCCCTACTCCTTCCACTGCTTCTGCATTCTCTTCCTTTCACTGGAGTGCGGCGGGGCGGAATGGCCGAGATCATGCCAATACTTCGTCGCCCCTGCGCTCATCGCTTCCTGCCTTGCTTCACGATCAGAGTGAATGGGCTCTGCGCTCCAAGCGCCGCTGGAGGTTGCCAAAGCCCTCGCGGGTGGTGCGCGGACGCCGTTGCAGGGCGCGCCAACGAGAAGGCCGTGGGCATCTTTCTTTTGTTCGGATGAAGGAGGGGCGACGCCACCAACAGCCTCCAGCGTGGGGGCCCACGATGCCTCCTAGAGCTGGGGATAGGTGCTGTGTCGGTCCAGGTGGGGGGGGCGGGGCACACCACCAGGAGGACTCCCTGGCGCCTCAAACCCGTGGTGGGCGTCGTCGTTCTTTGCCCCTGTCTCGTTGCGATGGGGGAACCAGTCTTGGGTGCAGGCAGCGACAGCGCATGTGGCCGCCTGCCCAGCGGGGTCCAGAGCACAAATTTTCGCTTGCCAGGTGTTGTTGCACTACACGTTCCTGAACCCGGCAATGGGTTTGGTTTTCGTTTCCTACATGTGTGGGCTCCTGTGGAGTGGCGAGGCAAACTGGGAAATTGAGGATTCGCACCCCTCGCTGCGACCAAGCGCGACAGCACTATCAGCACAACCACTACCTCGTTTACCGCTACTATCGGCCAGTGTTACCAGTACCTCCTCTAGTGTTGGTTGATTGGTTCAGATGTTGTTTGTCACCACATGCGTCTATTACGGATGTGTACTTGCACGTGCATGTATACACATACATACATACACACATATTTATATACGCGTGCGTGTGAGAACGGATGTATACATATTTCATGTCCCCGGCGATTGTCGTAGAGTTTCCTTGGTTGCTTCATTTACACAGTTTATCTCAATTCTAGACGCTTCGCGTATCCCCACAGGCCACGGTTGGCCGTGCTTTGCCATTCTGTGGACAGCGATGCACGGTCTCGGCGTGTGACGGGCACTCGGTCTCCCTATCGTCGCTCCCACGCGCAACCTCGTTGTGCGACCATTCCCTGGGACTCTGTGACCGTGAAGGGCTTGCTGACGTGGGTATGCGGCAGTTTCTCCCCTTCGAGCGCTTTCCGCGACTTGGCGTTGCGTGGGTTGCGAGGCGCGGGCTGTCACTCTGTCGTCTGGTACACGCCCACTTCCGATCGACCGTGTGTCCCTCACCTGGTGGGTACTCGTGTACTTCTGCACTGCGGCACACCATTTTCTGGCCTCCTGCGTGCAGGCGCATCTCTCTGCAGTTGTTTCGAGGTTGTCTCAGTTGTCTTTGACCTCTGGCTCACCTTATCAGCCGCGGATGCGTTTTCTGAAGCTGCGACGGTTCGCTGGCGCTGTCAGAATCCCCCTCCTTGCTGGACGACGTCAGCTACGCCTTCGGTCTGCTCATACCCGACAGACTCCCTGGCTGACTTTCTCGCACGGAGTTTGGTTCCCACCACCATGCGGTTGTCGGTTGTCACGACCATGACTGGGAACGTACGGCGCGCCATTTTGGCCGCGTCCGCTTTGCCCCCTGGGTGACTGACCCCTCAGACTCCCTGGGTTGCAGCTTGCACGACCGCCTGGCCTCTCAGACGCCCTGGGTTGCTGCTTGCCCCGCCGCCTGATCCGCGGCCCCCGCGCGCGCCCGGGAATTCGTCACGGCCGCAGCCCGACCGTGACTGCTCGCCGCCGGCGCTTCCGCCTGCGGCTGTAAAAAAAAGTATCCCCACCAGCCCGTCCAGAAACGACGCCCAGGCGAGTAGAGGGTCGTCCTGAGGGGCTTTTCGGCGTCTTGGGTGCCTTGGGGGGGCCTCTGTGGGCCGTTCGGGATCCTCTTTGGGGCCTCCTGGGGGCCTCTTGGGGCCTCTTGGGGCCATCTTGGGGCCTCTGGGAGCACCTTGGGTGCCTCTGGGGGGTCTCTTGGGGCCTCTTGGGGGTCTCTTGGGGGCCTCCTGGGGGCCTCTTGGGGGGCCTCTTGGGGCCATCTTGGGGCCATCCTGCGGCCTTTTGGGGCATCCTGGGGGCCTCTTGCGGCCATCGTGGGGGAAATCGATCAAAGAAGAGGGGAGCTCTAGTTAGCGCTGCCCCCTCAGAAGGCCAAAATGGGGCCCAAACCATAGTAAAATCAATGATTGCGAAGGCCTTGCGGCCGGTGCCGCCGACCCTGTTCGCAATGCGCAGCAAGAGGCACGGGCTGTGGGATGGTTTTGGGGAGAGGGGAGAAGGACGAGAAGGTGGGGGAGGGAGGTGTACTTTTGCTGGTGGTCGTTTTCTTCCGGCCGTTGCTGTTGGCCATGATGATGGTCTTGGTGGTTCTCTTGCTGCTGGTGTCGCGGGTGCTGCTGGTGGTTCGCTCGTTCCTGGCGATGGTGACGGTGTTGCTGGTGGTGGTGTTCCGTCTGCTGCTGCCGTCTTGAGGCTATCTTTGGGGTCTTTTTCAAGCGCTCTTGGGACTTCACCGGAACTTTGGAGGTCGTCTTGGAGGCATCTTGGGCCATTTTGGCGACCTCGGTGGCCTCCCAGGTGCGTCTTGGAAGCCATAGTGGGTCTGTTGGACGACTGGGAGAGCCCCGGGAAGAGGGGGCCAGCCATACGGGTGGGTGCGATCCGGTGGGTGGGACCTCCACAAAGAGTACAGAAGCCCTACCAGACAGCACTTGGCATTCTAGCACGCCCCAACGTACCAGGGGTCACGGTGGCGGATTATAATCGTTATCCACTGGAGGGGAGGATGAGTAGCAAGAAGACGACGAGGGAGCGTCCTTGCGTTGCATGTCTGATGGAGGAGGAGGAGGAGGAGGAGGAGGAGGAGGAGGATGTGGATGAGGAGGAGGGCGACATTGACATCCGCCTCGGGGTGCACTACAGCGCGGGGGCCCAATCAGCTAGCAACTGGCCTTCTGACTCAGCCCAAGCGGCTGCAGAGAAGAACCGGCTCCACCGAATCCTACCCCAGGGGAGAGAGTGACGGGAACCTCAGCCCAGACAGAAAGAGGAGAGGAGGAGAGAGGAGTCGCCGCCGCTTCCTGGGCGCCGGCCCGCAGAGAGGTTGTGGGGGGGGGCGGGGGAGGAAGATCCGGAGGGAGAGGAGGAGGTGGAGGAGGAGGAGGAGGAAGTCGGAGGAGGGAGCAGGACGAGGAGGAGGGGGAAGGGGGAGGAGAGAAAGGAGGAGAGGAGGAAAGCAGGGTGGAGGAAAAGGGATAAAGGAATGAGAAGGGGTGGAGGAGGAGGAGGAGGAGGAGGAGGAGGAGGAGGAGGAGGGGCAGGACGGCGAGGAGGACGAGGAGGATGACCAGGAGGAGGAGGAGAAGGAGGAGGAGGAGGGAGCAGGAGTGAGGAGGGTGGAGGAGGAGGGGAGCGGAGGAGGGAAGAGGAGGAGGAGGAGGAGGGGGGCCAAGTGGAGGTGCCCCCTTGCCCCCCTACGGGCCCAGGGCCTCCGGATGGCCCCCCCCCTGCCCCTCACTTTTGCCGCCAGGTGGAAGGCCACTCTCTCCAGGGAACTCAGGCGTCAGGCAACCTCGAAGTCAAAAGCCGGCGGGGCGGGTGTTCCGCGCTGGCAGCAGTCTCGAAGCTCTTCGAGGCCCAGCCTCGAGACGGGGGGGGCGTCGTATCTGACCCGGGACTCCCCCGGGACTCCCCCGGGCCCCCCCCCGGGACCCCCCCGCCCCCCCCCCGTCGGGGAAGGGAAAGGGAAGGGGCTTCCCTTCGACTCAATTACGACGTTGCTCAAGGTCGGTTTGGCTGGCGCGCTCGAGGAGGAGGCCCTGGGAAAGACCTCCCCTCCCCCTCCCGGCGGGGGAGGGATTAAAGGGAAGGGGCTTCCCGTCGAATCAAGTACGACGTTGCTCAAGGTCGGTTTGGCTAGCGCGCCCTGGGGCTTGGGGTTCGTGTCCTGGGGAAAAGGAAGAGAAGGTCCTGGGGCCGGGTCCTGGAATCAGGGGGTGGGGTCCAGAGTTGTCAGGCTCTCGGGTTCCGGGGTAGAGGAGGAGGAGGAGGAGGAGAAGGAGGAGGAGGAGGATGACTAGAAGGAGGAGGAGGCTGAGAAGGAGAAGAGAGGAGGAGTTGCAGGGTCCTTGGAAGGATGTGAAGCTGGAAATCCGAAGGTACGGGGGAGAGGGGGGAAAGGCGCGGGGCGCGGGGCGCTTTCTTCCTGTAGAAAGGAAGGACAGGGGAAGAAAGGGAAGGCCCCCCCCCGTGTGGACAGGGGGGACAGAGGGGGCTGTGGACAGGGGGAACAGAGGGGGGACGGGGGAGAGGGGGGAAAGGCGCGGGGCGCGGGGCGCTCTCTTCCTGTGGACAGGAAGGACAGGGGGAGGAAAGGGGGGGCTCCCCCCCGTGTGGACAGGGGGAACAGAGGGGGGCTCTCTGAGGCGCTCTCCTCCTCGGGCGCGGCTCGGGGGCGGCTCGGGCGGCTCGGGCGCGGCCTGAAAGAAGAAAGAATCCTTACGTCGAGTACTTACGGGGGGGGCGTCGTATCTGACCCGGGACTTCCCCGGGACTCTCCCGGGCCCCCCCCCGGGACCCCCCCGCCCCCCCCCGTCGGGGAAGGGAAAGGGAAGGGGCTTCCCTTCGACTCAATTACGACGTTGCTCAAGGTCGGTAGGCCCTGGGAAAGACCCTCCCTCCCCCACCCGGCGGGGGAGAGATTAAAGGGAAGGGGCTTCCCTTCGAATCAATTACGACGTTGCTGAAGGTCGGTTAGGCTAGCGCGCTTGAGGAGGAGGCCCTGGGAAAGGGCGAGGGGAGCGGGGAGGAGCCCAGGGGAAGAGGGGTACCAGGGAAAGGGAACGACAGAGACGACGATTACAAAGAATGACGGAGATGACGGCTCGAACGGAAAAGCCCTTCACACACGCCGACAGGGTCGGCGGATTTTGGCTTCCTCGCCGAGGCCGTTTTGGACGCTCTGACCGCTCCCCGCCCCTCCTGTCCAGGTCAGTGGGGAGGGGGTAGGGGGAGGGGTAATTCCCTCCCCGAAGGGGAAGAGGGAGGGGTGGAAGAGGAAACGCCCTAAACCACCGACGCCCAGAGGGCTGGTGGGATTTCTGCATGTACCAGCTTGACTGTTACATTGTTCTCTTCGCTATTGTTGTTGCCGTGCCTGCTGATTACCGGTGTTGCTCCGCTTGCTACTGCAACTGAAGCTACCTAGCTGATCAAGTGCCTGTGTGTCTTCGACTGGCTGACGGTGGGATTGTGAGTAGAATGGATCTGACGCAGGGCGGTGGAGGCAGACGGCAAACAGGGCAGCGGAGGGGGAGGACAAAGAAGTGCAGCAGTCGGCAGGAGAGGGGTTTGGATGCGGGAGGGTTGGGATGGGCAGGAGAGTTTGCATGGGCGGCGGTGCACCTAGCTGTCCCGCGCCGCAGAGTAGCACGCCGCCGAGTCTTCCTGATTGCCTTCTACACATACACATATACATAGCCGCATACGTATACACATCTGTATGTACGTACATAGTTAGAGATACACCTATGCGTACGTATAGTAGGACCGAGGTATAAGATCCAGGTCGGTTCGGGGAGGGTGCCCTAGTGGTCTTCGTGTTTTGCGGATGTTGTCGTGCACCCTGGGGAGCGCTTTTGCTCGGAAGGTCTGTGCGTCTTGGCCGGCGGAGGGTCGCGTGCTCTTGAAGGATGTCCTCTTGTCCTGGGTCCTGCTTGAGTGTATACACAATTTGAGATGCACCAATTTGTACATGTGTATAGGCTCAGCTCTTCTTCCGCCCGCCATCCTCCCTCTTTCCTGCCTTCCCTCCGCTGATCACCTTCGTCCCCCTCCTCCTCCTCCACCCTCCTCCACCTCCCTCTCCTCCTCCTCCTCCTCCTCCTCATCCTCCTCCTGGCCCCTCTCCACCTCTCCTCCATCAGTCGGTGCATGATGTCGCACTGGGCTGGGGCGAGGATACATCCGTCCCAGAGCGTTCGGTAACGCTCTGAGAGCGTTCTGGAAGACTCCGAGAACGGCTGGATTTCAGGGATTCTGGATGCATCTCACCCGAATGTCCCCTCGTCCTGGCTTCGTCTTCTGGTGCGCGCACTGTTTCTCAGTTCACACGACGTTCCAGAAGGTCAAACGAAAAACAACCGTGGGAAGCAATTATCGAAATCCCCCCCGCTCGTCGAAATTGTAACACTTCGGCCCCTGGAAGTGATACCCCAGGGCCCACAATTTCGAATGTGCCTCTCGCCTCAGCGCTGCGCTTATTGGCTGCAGAACTTCGTAACAGTGTCACAGATGGAGGGCGGGTTCTTTTCAGCATGCCGTTCTCGCCTTGCTTGTTTTTGCATATGTTTTTTGTTTTAAAGTTTGCATGAGCTTCGCGGGTGGGGGGCGGGCCTGTTTGTTCAATCTGTAGTTCTCGCAGTAATGCCGCGCACATTTGTTCCAAGGGTTCGCAAGTGAAGCTCACGAATGGAAGGCGGGTGGTTTCCTCGAACATGTGTGTCCAGCAGGATGCCCGAGGATTCCTGCGGGATCCCTGAACCTTTCCCGAGGATCCTTGAGGAATCGAAGCTGCCCCGCCCCGTCGTTCGATCACGCTTTTTTGGGGTGCTGAAGATCCCCCCCCCCGGGAATCACTGCGTGGGCCCTCGCACCCCCCCCTTCCCCCCCCCCTTGAGTGGATCTTGGCTGTTTTTGGCGCTTGTTTCGAGCAGGCGGAGCCTCCCCCATGGAACGCACTGCTGCAAACAGTCGCACTAAGCAGAGGTCCGGAGCCAGACCCACCCCTCCCCCCCCCTTCCGCCCAATGTCGAAACGCCGAATACGCAAACACTGACCTACGGATGAGGGCGGGGTTGGGGTCGATGATTTTTATTTGTACGGCAAGGTGAAGGGGGTCGGGGGAGAACCTGGGAGAAACATGAGGGCGAAGGGAGGGAAGGGAAGAGGAGCAGGCGATGCCGCGTCCTCCCGAAGTCGTGCTGCCGCGGCTCCCTGGCCACAGGCGTGGTTGGACCTCCCAACCCTCTTCCACAACCGGGGGAGACCCGCACCTGGCGGCGAACGCCCGCGGTCACTAGGCGGGTTGCGAACTGCATACCCTCGCGCCCACCATGCCCAGGGATCAGTTCTGTTTGGCATCAGGCTGTACAGTCAACGCCCCTAGTAAGGACGCACGCGCCTGTGTCCTTGCCTCTGCGGCCCGTCCTTTGCCGTTTTCGCTGGTCGCCCGCCGCCCAAAAATCACACTTGCGGCCTCCAAGGGTCTTGCGTCATTGCCACCCGTCCTTGATACACGTTTTAGCTGTATCAGCTCGGGACTGAAAGTGAACGCAAGTTCGGATTTTACTCAAACGTCATGTCGAGCCTTCCATTGCCATTCTGGCTCAAGTTTTGCCCAAGACATTGTGGCAAGTCTTCAGGCATTTGGAACGCGGGGTTTTGCGCCTGTTGCCGACAAGCCCCTGTTGCTTCACCGTTACCGACATGAACGTAGCGGTGTTTGCAGCAGCGTTCGCCATCCTGCTCGTCGGCCGCGGCGGCGTCGCCGCCGACGGCATGACCGAGATCGGCGGCGAGCCCGGTGGGGAATTGAAAAGGAGAATGCCTTCTCAGGAGGCTTGGAAGTCCCCCAGCCTTCTGAGAAGTCTTCTAAACCTTCCCGGAAGACACCAACAACCTCCTCAGAATGCGGTAGGGTTTCTTAAAATTCCCGCCGCCTCCTGAGAAGGCTTTCTCCTTCCCATTTCCCCACCTTGTCTCGCCGCCGACAAGACCTTGGAGGAGCGCCGCCTGGTGGAGGACGACTCGCACAACTGAGACGACGCCACGAGCGAGGCCGACGGAGTGGGGCTGCTCCAGTCACGGGCGCTGAGCGCCGGCAGGACGCAGACCGCAGACAACAGCAAGGACGAAGCGCAGGACCACAAGCAGTATGAGAAGGCGAGATTTGAGGATGCACCGATCGATGTCCAGAAGGTAGGTGATTGTTTTCTTATTCATTGCTTTGCCGATCGGCGCTGGCCCTCGCACCCCGCCCCCCCCCTGCAGTGGACCTTGGCTGTTTGGGGGGCCTGTTTCGAGCAGGTGGGGTCTCCCCCATAGGACGCACTGTTGCAAACAGTCGCATTAAGCAGAGGTCAGGAGCCAGACCCCCCCCCCGCCCCGCCCAATGCCGAACTGCCGAATTCGAAAACGCTCACTTGGAGGATCTACCGATCGATATCAAGAAGCTCAACTCTACAATTCATCACGGGCATGAACATCCTGGCGACGTGTACCTCTTTTCCTCTGGTTGCGATGCCGAGTGCCCAGAACCAAACACTTACTGCTGCAAGCGTGGTTCAACAAGTCTCGAAACTTGCTGTGTTGGTGGGGGGAAGATTGCCCCAGGATACATATGCATTTGGGAGAAGATCGGCACGTGCACGACGGGATATTGTTGTACACGGAGTCCTGAAGCGGAACGATGTCGTCCGTATTAGATGGCCTCCACTGAGTGGGAACGATGTCGTCCGTGCTAGATCGTTTGTCCTCCGCTCTACCCGCTCGGTTTAACGTCCTGTCCGTTCGCATGGCAACTTGCACGTTCGCTTTCAAGTCGTGCCCGCCGGGCCTGTCCGCCCGACGCGACCCCCAGCGAAGCGAGATGGGCACCGTGAAATGGAGGAGACGAGCCTTGAGAAGAACGAGGAGGAGGAGGAGGAGAACGAGGAGAACCGGCGAAGAGGAGCGAGGATAATGAGGAAGAGGAGGAGGAGAAGGAGGAGGAGATCAGGCTAGCCGCGTTACTCGGCAGGAGTCGTTGAGGCATTTGTTGGTTGAGGCTGTGGTTGGGTCTTGGAGAGATCCTTCCCCTCCCAGAATGCCTCTGCTCCAGCAGCATTGTGCGCATGTTGCATTCCGCCAGCTGAAACTGCCGCTCCTTGGGGAAGAGGCGTCGCGCGCCACAGGGCTGCGGTTGTGTGGCGCGCGGTGCTGGCTGCTCGCCCGACTTCTCTCAGTTTTCTCTCTCTCTCTCTCTATCTTTTTTTGTCTCTCTTTTTTGCTCTCTGTCTCTTTCTCTCTCTTTCTCTCTCTGTCTCTCTCTCTCTCTCTCTCTCTCTCTCTTTTTGTCTTTCTCTCTCTCTCTCTCTCTTTCTGTCTCGATTTCTCGCAGCACACCTCTCTCGTTTACCCTTGTCTATCTGGCCGCTTCTCTTGCATGATCCATCGATTCGTTCGTTACTGCAGCACGTCGGCGCGAAACGGGCGCTCTCGGGAGGGGATGAACCAGCGCTTTGTTGCCGGACATACAAAAACATCATGCCGAATTTTCCTGACACCCTGGACGGCTGAATTGCGGGCGAGTGTCAATTCGTTTGGCGAAGCGAACATAATGTTGGCTGACATTTTCACCGAAGATTTCCTCGTGGTGTCTCTTCACATGTTTGGCGTGTGTTTCTCCGGCTTTCCCTTCTCCCTTCCTTCCCTCACTCTTCGACTCCCTCTTCCCTCTTCCCCGTCTTCCTCACCCGCAGGAAGAGGCTAGAGGACCTGCTTAGGCTGGCTGGCGGCCAAGTCGTGAAGCCGCCTGCGGCGAAGGCAGCCTCCTGCCATGCGGGGGGTACAGCGGCAAACGAATTGAGTTTGGAGCGAAGGGGGAAGAGACTTTTCCGTCTCATCATGCCTCCTCGCCTTACCTGGAAGGCAGGGGTGGTGGGAAAAGCGCAGGAAGAGGGGACGGAACAATAGGAGCAAATGGGTAAAGAAGGAGGGATTGGAGACCAATGACGGGGGACGCATGAGAAGTACAGGAGCGGCGAACGAGGAGGAGTACAAGCGTGGACGAGGAAGCGCCGCGGCGGCAGTGACAGGAGTTCAAGGACGATTGCACAAACAACGGGATAGTGTTGTGTGTTAGAGTTCAACTGGTTCACGGTGGGTCTTCAGTCTGATCAGGTTTGGGCAGGAGAGGTGCATTCAGCGCCGAGCGCGAACTGAAGCATCCAGAGCCGAGGGCCGATGAACGATGATGAGGAAGAGCACGAAGAGGCGGGCGTTGCTCCAAGACTGCGATCACATCTCCTGGTAGTTGTGAGGAGGCACGTTTTCGCAGGCGATGTTTCTCCCCCACATCTCGTGTTTTGCCCGAAGAGTTCGGCCACTCGGAAAGTATGGAAACCCTGGGATACATCACAAGGGGGCTATTCGGACGACCCCTATCGAGGATTGACGCCCCCCATCGTGTATCCCAGGGCGGGGCCCCAAAAGTTTGGTCCAGTCGAAGACCTCCCAGAGCCTGGGAGAGGGGTCGGCATATCGCCGTTACGTTCGTTTTGGGTCTGGCCTCCCTTCAGCGCCCTCCCTGCCTCCTCGCTGGCCTCCCGAGTCCCCGCCTCCGGAGGAGGAGGAGGAGGACGACGACGCGCACGGAGCGGAGGCGGCCCGGCCTCGGCCCACCTCCCCGGCGGAGCCCCCCGCCGGGGGGGGGGGTTGGCCGCGCCGTGGCTCGGGCCGCGCCGTGGCCGCCCCCGCATGCACGACGCGTCGAGGGCGTGCCTCGGCAGCGAGCCGTGCTGCGCGATGTCCTCCACCTCCCTCTCCTCCTCCTCCTCCTCCTCCTCCTCCTCCTCCTCCTCCTCCTCCTCTTCCTCCTATCTCCTCCTCCTCCTCCTCCTCATCTTCCTCCTTCCTTTCCTTCTCCTGCTCCTCCTCCTCCTCCTCCTCCTCCTCGCTCCTACTCCTCCTCCTCCTACACTCCTCCTCCTCCTCCCTATTTCCTCCTCCTCCTCCTCCTCCTCCTCCTCCTCCTCCTCTCCTCCTCCTTCGTTTCCTCCTCCCTCCTCCTCGGCCTCCTCCTCCTGCTCGCCCCCCGCCCCCCCTGCGATTCCGAGGGCCAGGACGGGCTCACCCCAGCCCGGCACGCACTCCAAGCGTTGTGGAACAAGTACTCTCTTGGTGCCGGCGCCAGCCTGCTCTGTACTTCCCGCGGGGGGCAGCGGATGAGGACGGAGCAGGCCGCGCAGGCAGTGTGACCGCCTGCACGGTGGGCCTGTGGTGGATCGCTGGTTCCTGCAGCTTGCGCCCGTGACAGTCTGCAGTCTTGCGCGTGGGCGGTCACGCGGTGCAGTCTCACGCACTGTTTACCCATTCGAGCTAGCTCGCACACTGGTAGTGGATATGGGGCACATGTTTCTCCCTTTCTCGCGGCCACGCCGAGGCTCATGGTGCCCCTGCAGCACATCCCCCGTCTCCATCCTACGTTCCACTTGCCCACTCCATCCTGGTCTCTGCCTTCTGAGGCCACGCCTCAGCCCGGTACCGAGATGTCACTGCGCAAATTGCTGCATGTGGGTGCCTCGAGAGACCCTCGATGCCGCCTCAATGAACGAGCGACCCGGGCGCAGGAGGAGGGGGAGGAGCGGGCGAGGGGGTGGGGGGACATGAGTGGGAGCAGGACTGGGAACAGAAATAGCAGTGTGCATGGTGGACGTGGGGGGGTGGACACGAGTGGGAGCAGAGCCATGAGCTGGAGGAGCGTGACGAGGATCCGCAGGGGAGTCCGGCGAGTTCCCCGCGCCTCCCGATGGCACGAGCGACCGCGGGCACGGGAGAGTCAGGAGGGAAAAAACACACAGACACAATTAATCGTCGATTCCCCCGAAAACATGGGAACATATGGGAAGTGGGGGGAAGGCGAAAACCCAAACACAGATTGGAAAATAGGGGGAATCCTTTTATTTGTGTGCATTTATTTGTGTGTCCCAGGCTTTGTGGGCCCCGGAAACGGCAGAGATGTTTTTTCACCGTTTCCAAAAAAGTGCCCCTTGCAAGTGGACACGGCAAAAAAACGGCGACCGAAAACGGCAAAAAACGGCTCTAGGATTGGAACCGGAGCCGGAACTGGTCAAAGAACGGCGACGGAACCGGTAAAAAACGACGGCGGAACCGGCAAGAAAATTGCAAAACAAGTCGTGTTCCTGCTAAGTGGGCTTCTGTTCTGCTAAGTGGGCTCCCGATGTGCTTGATCCTGTTGCCAGCTCCGCCTCCTGCTGCTGGTCCTGTTTTTCTTCTCGTCATCCTCCTCGTCATCCTCCTCCACTTCCTCCTCCTGTCCTCCTCCCCATCCTTCCTCTTGTCACGTCCTACCACTCCCTCCTTCTCTCCTCCTCCTCCTCCTCCTCCTCCTCCTCCTCCTCCTCCTCCTCCTCCTCCTCCTCCCCCTCTTCCTTGTCACCTCCTCCTCCCTCTCCTCCTCCTCCTCCTTCTCCTCCTCCTTCTCCTCCTCCTCCTCCTCCTCCTCCTCCTCCTCCTCTGCATCGACGGCCGGAGGCGGCCGTCGTCGTCGGTCGTCGTCGCCGCCGCCGTCGCCAAAAGCGTCCTCTTCCTGCTCAGTGAGCTTCTGGCCTGCTAAATGCGCTTCGTTTGCTTGATCCTGTTTCCAGCCCTGCCTCCTGCTACTGGTGTTGCACAGTGGTTCATGCCAAGTTGCATGGGGAGCTCTGGAAAACAACAACTACACCTCCTCCTCCGTGCTCCTCCTTTCCCTCTCTATCTCTATCCCGCATCCCACGCAGTGGAAGCCACTGTCTCATCCCATTGCATGGAGTGCCTTTGCGTTGCATTGCATGGCATTTTATTACAACGCATGGCATTGCATTTCTGTTGCGTCACTTCCCATGGCACTGCATTACATTGCGTTGAGAGATCGTCGCAACTCTGGGCTCCGAGTTGCCGGGGGCAAGATGGCCTATCCCATTTCGCCTGATACATCCTCGCAACTCTGGAATCCAAGATGCCACGCGCGAAGTGGTCCGGTCCGTTTCGCCATCTTCGCAATTCTGGGCTCAGATATGCCCTTAGCCTGAGTAGGTCCAGCCCGCTTCGCCTTAGACATCCTCACGACTCTAGGCTCAGACATGCTGATCTGGACAATTCTACTTCAGAGCCTGAGATGTCCTCCCAACTCTGCGAGATGCCGCGCGCGAGGTGGTCTGGTCAATTTAGCCTGAGACATCTTCGCAACTCTGGGCTCCTAGATGCCGCGTGTGAAGAGGTGCGGCCCGGCTCGCCTGGGGATCCTCGCAACTCTGGGCTCATATATGTCCTGGCTTGATGTGGTCCGGCCCATTTCGCTTGAGACATCCTCACAACTCTCGGCTCAGATATACCTTTCGCGAGGTGGTATGGCCCATTTTCGCCAGAGGCATCCTTGCACCTCTGGGATCGGAAATGCTCTGACCTGAGTTGGTCTGATTCGCCCTGGACATCCTCGCAACTCTTGGCCTAGATATGCCTTGACCTGAGTTGGTCCGGCCCAGGTCGCCCGGGGCATGCCCGCAATTCTGGGATCCGAGTTGCCAGGCGCGAGGTGGTCCAGCCAAATTCGCCTAACACGTCCTCGCAACTCTTGGCTCCGAGAGACCGCGTGCGAAGTGGTCCGGCGGATTTTGCACGCGACGTCTCTGGGCTGCAAGATGTCGCGCGCGGGCTCAGATTTACTCTGACCTAAGCTGGTCCAGCCCGTTCCGCCTGATACATCCTCGCAACTCCAGGCTCAGAGATGCCGCGCGCGAGGTGGTCTGGCCGATTTCGCCTGAGACATCCTCGCAACTCTGGTCTCAGAATTGAATTGTTGTGGCCTGAGGTGATCTGGCCCGTATCGCCCGAGACATGCTCACAACTGTCGGCTCGAAGTTGCGACGCGCGAGGTTGTCCGGTCCGGTTCGCCTGAGACATCCTCGCAACTCTGGGTTCCGAGATGCTCCTGACTTGAGGTGGTCTGGCCAATTTCGTCTGAGACGTCTTCGCAACTATGGGCTCAGACATGCCGCGCCTGAGGTCGTTTGGCCAATTTCGCTTGATGCGTCCCCGCAACTCCGGGCTCAGAGATGATGCGCTCGAGGTTCTCGGGCCAGATTCGCCTGATCCATCCTCGGAACTCTGGGGTCGGGCCAATTTCGCTTCAGACCTCCTCGCAACTTTGGACTCGCTACGAGATTCAGCGCGCGAGGTAGTCCGGTCAGTTTGCCTGGGACGTCCTCACAACTGGGCCCCCAGGGGCGGGGGAGAGGAGTCAGACGGGGCCAGGCCCAAGCTACCTGTTACATTACCCTGCCAATGCCGAATTGTGCCCCAGGAGGGGTCCAGGCGCCCCTGCCTCGAGGGAACAGTTAGCCGGCGCCGAGGCGAGAGCATGATTTCTGAGTCATGTGGAAGGAAGTCTCAGGCGGGGGGGCGCCATGCCTTAGTTGGTACATGTTGACATCTCCAGCGAGAGGAGAACTTGGAGGGTGAAGAGGAGAACCAGGAGTACGAGGGGCGAGAAGAACCAGGGGAAGAGCAGCAGGAACACGATGACGAGAATGAGTGGAAGAAGAGAAGGGGGAATAATAACGACGAGGATAATGAGGAATGGAATGAGTCGGGGAAGGAGAAGGAGGGGGAGGAGAAAGAGCAGGAGGGATGCGTGGGAGGGGGAGAGGGCAAGAAATATGGCAATGAGGACGATGTCAGCAATGACGACGACAGTGATGGCGACAAGGGCGCAGGCAAATCAGCAATATGTGGAGCCATCCTGCCTCAAAATCGTTGTTGGGGATGCTGGACTGAGGCTATAAATCGGTCTGTCGGCGCTGCTTCTCCGCCTCGTCTTCCTCCTTGTCCTGGTCCTCCTGCTGCTGCCTTCTCCATATCCCCCCAACCCCTCTTGCTCCTCCTTGCAGGCTTTCCTCCTCGTGCTCATGTTCCCTCCCCGCTCCCCCCTTTTCCTCCATATTCCCGCAAGGATTGTGCTGATGTTGGTGCTAAGAAACGCGCTGCGCCTGACGGTGCCGGTATCGATATCGATACTGGTGCCGGCACCGATGCCGGTATCGGTACCGTTACCGGGCCATGATCGGCATCGGTATCTCAACAGAAGATACAGCCAACACCAAAAGCGTTTCGCTTCCGATCGCGCTTCCTGCCCCTTGGGTCTTAGGCGTTCGCCACGTCCTACGCGTTCTCAGCAGACGTGGTGCGGCAAACGCCTAAGATCTACAAGGCGGCCTGTGCTGAGATGAGGCCTGCGCTGCAGGGGTCTTCTCAGCAGGGGCACCCGGGTGCCCCTGCTGAGAGGAAGTGGGTCTGACCCTGGGATCGTCGTTTGGATCTGATGAGACAAGCTCTATTTGGAGGGCGTCGTCTCAGCAAGCCCAGCCGACGATCCCGGAGGCAGACCCGCGCCCTCTCTGCAGAGGCACCCGGGCGCCCCTGCTGAGAAGAGCTCTGCGGCGCAGGCCTTCTCTCAGCAGAGGCCGCGGTGTGGATCTTGGGCGTTCGCCGCGGCCTCGGCCGGCCGTTCGCTTCTGCCGCGGCGGGCGGCCGCCCGTTCATCCGATTCGTCATCGTCGTAGTCGTCGCCGTCGTCGTCATCATCAGGACCTTCGTCATCGCCATCATCATTATCATCATCAACGACAGCATCATCGTCGACAACACCACCGTGAGAATCGTAATCATCATCATCGCCGTCATCGTCATCGTCGTCGTCGTCAGCGTCATCATCGCCATCACCATCGTGCCCGCCATCACAGTCACCCTCGCAATCGACATCATGGGCCTCGTTCCAATCGTTGTCGTCGTCACCGCGAGCGCCGATGCCGCTGGCATATATTGCCGTCGCAATGATCGGTGGATCGTCGCCATCAGTGATGTCCACATGATAATGACTACCATCATCTTTATCATTTCCATCCTCCTGTTTATTTTCCTCTGCCTTCTGATGCACTGTGTTTTTTTGTATGCCCCCTGATCCTCTGTACTTCTTCCTTGGACAATCGTAGAAAGTGAGGAACAATAAGTGAGGAGAGGGACGGGGAGTGAGACGTGAGAAAAGAGCAGGAGTTGGAGGAGCAGCGGGGGGAGGATTGGGGATGGAGGAGGGGCAGTAGCAGAAGGAGGACCAGGACAAGGAGGAGGAGGGCGCGGAGCAGCAACGCATAATGAATAAATGATAGCCAGGGGCCAGCATCCCCATCAGAAGTGTTAAATCCAACGTCGATTCAAAGCTTGTTCGCGAGTCCTCCGAATCATCGTCGTCCTGTTTCTGATTGGCATGCGCCCGTCTCGTGATCACTGTCGTCGTCGTTGTTGTCGCCGTCCTCATCATCGTGTTTTTTGCCGCCTACCCGCCCACGCAACCTCATCGTCCTCACTTTCCTCCGCCTCCTCATGCCGTTCCTCTCTTCTCT